CCAAAGGACCAAATATATAATAAAAAAGTAAATACATACTTATAGAAAAAGCTCAGTACTAAAAAGGCAGGACCATGGGAGAGAAAGGAGGGAGAAGTAGGGACAAGTTGAAGTGGAGGAAGGAAAAGGAGCGCTCTTGAAGGGCCATACAGTTTGAGGTACTCCCAATATGACAGTGAAGCAGAACCTTCCCATCTCAGGCCACACATTCTTCCCCTTCTTGTCAGATGGCATTTCAGTCACCAAATCCTAGACTGCCCTTGAATTCCAACAGATTTAGACTAATAGATAATGAGGTTTAGCAATGAATACTTCATATATCTGCCTTGAGATGCTAAAGCCCTCGACATTCCTGACAAATATCACTGGCTTTAGCCCTTCCAGAGGAGCAAAGCCTTGTTGGCCCCATCAACTCAGAAGGATCTTTCATTCTCTGTTCTCAGAACTATCCTCTCCCTCCCCTAAGGTCCACATTCAAAACAATATGCCTGCAAAAACTCAGAGAAATCTGAATCCAGGGCCCGGTAGGGGAAGAGAAAGAGATAGAGACAGAGAGTGAGGTGGGACAGAGGAGAGGGAGAGGGAAGGAGAGGCGGAGATCTTGTTAAACCCTCATATTTTTATATCATAACATGTTGTTTCTCCTCAAAAGGCCAAACTTTAGGCAAGGCATTCACTCAACGAGTGTGCACACAGACGCTGAAGACCCTTTGGCAGGAACTTAGAGGTAGGAATTTATGACTGCAAGATTGGGCTGGGCAACCTGATAGGTTCCATCCAAGAAACATTAACTCCACACATCATATACTTTCTTTCTTGGGTGATTTGGTAAAATCTGACTATACCATGGAAAAACTAATTTTGTTCCCTATATCCATTCAAAACTACCCGGATCCAGATGTTTAGAAATGAGAATGTGGCCAGCAAATGTTTGGGGAATAACTTAAAGTTGCTAGCACCTACTATTCTCAGAAATTCTCTTCTTGGAGCAAACAACTGAAACTGAAGTAGAGCAAAGTTCAGTGATCACCCCAGGTCCACTACACTGACTGAACTTCAAATTTACACAGCTCCTGGGCTGTGATCTGAGGAACTCTCATCTTTTTCTTTTCAATATATAATAAGGACACACTAGAAGGCTAAAAATATAGATTTTAAAAAATTTGCTATCAAAATTCAGGACAATCTACCTAGAGCTTATCATTTAGGAAACGGCAACAGATGATGCTACATTCCTTCCCGAGCAGATATCTTGGGTCAGCCCCTGCCATAAAACTAGACTTCCCTTGGGCTGAGCACTGCTTTGAACCACTAGTTTGCTTACAAAGCCTGGCCTTTGGGGTATTACTTGACTTTTTCTCCCCTTAAGGCACATAGTCAAGAAGTTTATAAATGCCAAGATGTGTGGCATGGGGGCATGGGATGGCTTTCCTTCCACCATCTTATATCATTTGTATATTTTCTTACCAGGGATCTTCCATGGCCATAATTTTCAATTTCCTCCCCAAAGGGAACCCAGGCAATCCCAGAGGTGGTTAAAAAAAATCAAGATTTTAGGACACTTAAGTTCAGACCACATATTTAGACATCTATTTTTTCAAAGGACTCAATATTCTACCTCCCATTTACATTCTAAATTCCTAATTTTTCTCAGGGATTTGAAGAGCTCTCAATGCCTACATACTACCACAAAAGACATTCTCCTGCTTTCTCTGAACTGATAGGTGGCCTCCATCTAGGTATGATCTGGTATAGGGAAACCAGTTCCTCACAATACAATGTGATCAGTTACCAGTAAGTACTTTGGGAATATAAAACATACTGGCCATTTCGAATTCTCGACATTGTCTTCGATATCATTATTAAAAACTCAACTTTAGGCGCCGGGCTGAGCAGTGCAGGGTCTGGGCCCCCCCCAAAAAAATTATACCGTTCATTTTTTAAAAAACAAAAAGATACTGTGGGGTAACAAGTACACCCTCCTACTCATCATCTAACAAAACAAACCAAATCAAGACCCAACCTCAACAGGTGATTGAACTACTTAAAACATATAGCGATGGTTAATTTCCACAATGAACTTTATTGCACGTTAAGTTTTTGAAAACACATTTGCTCCCCTCGCACCTGAGCAGATTCATAAGATCTTGGTTATGGATTACTTTATAGCCTCAGACCACACTAAGCCCCCATTACTTTATCATTCTCATGTTCAAACAGAATTGAAGACCCACTAGAGAAATAAATGTATCCTGTGCTCTGCTCTTCCTGTAAAGGGTTTAGATTCAGCCTTTGGTGCCAAAACAATTGAATTACTTTATAGTTCAATCAGCAAATTAATCGTTTGCTCCACCAGCTGGCAAATTTAAAGTATCGTCAATGTCAGATTATCCACCAGAGGATATCTGTTTTGCGGATCATACCACCTCTACTCCACAGCTGGGCTAAGCCAGGATGCTGGGGCCAGAGAAAGAGGAGAGCACTGGAATATGTTTCTAATCAAACATCCAATTAGAAATGATCTTTAAAGTCACCATTATTTTGCATTTTGAGTCCCCTGCTTTTTCCCTCCAACATAACTAATCATGCATTAACTGTTTCAGCTTCTTTAAATTCTTCAAATTGAAGATCTGAAGATGCAAAATATAGCAGTTAGACTTTTACAAATCTATAGACTCTCACTCCTTTCATGGCTGGATGTCTACCAGATATTTTTCCCTAGAAAATCCTAACTCTTTGAAGCATTCTGGCATTCTTTTATAAACCCTTTCCTTGTATCAGGCAATTTTCTTTTTTCATACCAAAATAGTCTAGTCTCAGCTCATTAATTTTTAAATCACAAACTATCCAGTCTTTTGCCATTGAGGTATGTGGCCATTTGAGACTACTGACAAACCTCTCTATACTGGCTGTGTTTGTTGCTTAAGTATGCCCAACTGCTAAACTGGCAATGGGAGAAAACATTTTCCTTTACCTCAAGACAAGGAACTCTGAATGTCAAGGTGCTGAGCTAGCAGTCTAGTACAGAACTCTAGCCACAATTAGCCAACCTTTGAGCCAAACCATATGATCGGACATACAGTGGATACCATACACTATAGCTACTTCTAACGTATGCACTACAAGGATTCCTGAGAAGCTAAGGTTAATGAATGAGATTTATCAGGAGTGAGGTATCAAGGGGATATTGTCATTCTCTGGAGGGCCAATTGGTGCTTAGCATCTACAAAGTATACCTTGGCACAGTGTTATCTGGTTTCTTGAAATTTATTCTCTGAAGTAGCACCTTAACACTGGCTCATCTATCTATAATCAAGAACAGAGCCTAGAAGAAACACAAAGGCAAACACCCTCCATATTGCTGCTGCACTGTGAAATATGACCAAACTTATCATTGCCATGAAATACCAGAAATAGTAACATTTCCTGTTTTGCAAACTTTAGTGGGGAAGGATAGCTAATAAGACAGGTATTGAACCAGAAATATACAGATAAGAACTTTGATTTCTACACAATATACAGGGTGGTCAGGCAAATCGTCTCATCTCATATGAAGGAGTCAGTGGCATGGAAAGGACAAAAGAAGTAAAGTTACTGAGCCATGACTATGATATGATGTGCTCTAGAGGGCTTTATTTTCCTTTTCATTAAAATGCTAAAGTGATATATTCACAAGGAGAAACTCTGGCAAATGCCTTGATATTTTAAAGATAAAAATGAAATAAGCCTTGGCTACCCAGTTCTGAAAAACAAAAGAATTTCAGATTTTGGAAACACAAGAACTAGGGGTAAAAAGTCCTAGAATCAGGGACCAGCAACTTTTAAATGAGGTATACTGAGGTGTTTGGTGGAATGGAGGGTTGGTGGGGGTAGGGTGGAGTGGGATATGCCAAGTGTCTGCTGATTTGGGGCTAGAAGGATGGTGGGAAGTGCTGGGAACAGATGTGTAAAATGAGCCAGGCTGAACTCTCACCTCTGGCAGTGAAGTCTCACTGCCATGGCATCCAGTGCAGAGATGGAGGTATGGCATCAGCAACTGGGCCACATGACAAAGGGCTGTGTGTCACCTCTGGTCTACGTGCCGTAAGATTGCCGAGTCTTGGTTTACAATTTAACTAGCCCTGGAAGTTATTTTTTGTAATAGGAATGATTAACCAGGCATAGTGCTCAATCCCAAAGAGAGGATTCAGTACTAAGGAGTAGGAACCGGAACAGAATGGAGGGGGAGTAAATTGCACATGGGTAAAACTATAGAAAATGAAATAGTGGTTGGAATGATGGTGGTGGCTCTTTAATTCCACCAGGTGTCCCTATAGTGTGATTTCTTTTTTCAAACTGCAATAAAGGTGGTGGGAAATTGAGATATAAGCACCTTTGGTGTCACCAGGCCTTGTCCATGACCCTGGTTCTTAGGATGGCTCTGCATTTTATTTAGAATTCTAAGGACCCTCAAAGGAGTCACAGCTGCCTATCCTGTTCCAACACCTTGAATATATTTTAAAGTATCCCAAGCTTAATTCACGCTCACAGGGACAACACTGGCCTGTTACATATACTTAATGCTGGGAGGTGCAATGAGTGTCCAGTTATTTCAGTACTGGTGGTCTTTACAAAGGAATGCATGAGGATGCAGATGCAGCTCTGAATCTTACCTAGTTTACCAGTATGCAGTTCCCTTTACTGTTCTTACATATTCCAGAAGCCTAAAGCACCATCAGTCATGGAGGTGGCATCTGGGTAAGAGGATTACGTAGGACTTCACAAAAATGTGAAATTCCCAGTAGGTGACTGCTTAGAACTTTACTAATCATTCACCTCAAGGAAGCTGGAAGAAATCATTCCTTGCTACTAACAAATTCGCAGCAAAGTCCTTGTCTACTGGCTAACAAATACCATCTGGAAAATTACCCTTTTTGCAGACAAGGAGAAAGCTCTATAACTTATCTTTGTGCACTTCAAAAGAGTACCAGGAACAAGCAAGCTATAAAAGTCAACCTCGCTAAATTCACTTAGGAGAGATTAACCAAAGCAGCATTGTCTTATAATCAGAAATTAAAATTAACATATACATACATACATAACAAACTAATAATGCTAAATATTGTAACAGGAACAAGAATAACATTTGAACTGAATCTTCACAGTCTAGAAACACCGTTACTATTTTCCTTCTGGCTTTCCTTTCTGTGGTTTGAAAAGCAAAGCCCCTTAGTTTACAAACTTCATCTTCCACCAATGACAGTTAGATCCCAAAAAACATGACTTTTTCATCAGTTTCCTGCAGGCTATAGGTCAGGACGGTTGGAATTTTCTTGCATAGTTTTCAGTGATTGCATATTGGCTAACAATTTTTAAATTAAAAAAATCTTTAAAAAACAAATAGAATTAAACCATAGCAATCTTGTTTACTCTTTCATGAAATCTTCCTAATGCAATATCACAGAAGCCTAACTGTATTTTCTCCTAAGGAGAAGATTAATTTCCAGAGATTATGTAGTGCAACTGGTTGACTTGTAGGAAAGAGACAACACACAATATGACTTCACCATCCAAATATGGGAAATGTGTTTTGGGTACCCAGTTAATAAAATATATCCATGGTCTGCAATGTCCTTCCTATTTCATATCCAGAACAACCCTATCATTCTAGTTGAAGAGAATGGAATCAGGATCTTGGTTTGCCATCTGTGCTATATGCTTTAACACATCCTTTTTGGTAATGATTCCAAGCAATCGCCTAAAAGACAAACACAATACAACAAAACAAAAATAAATCTGCAGTTAAAATAGCTTTCCCAAAGGTGACACACTTGTCTTCCTCAGTCTTTTTCAACTTTGTCTTTGACCACTATCTGTGCTTCCAGAATGATGAGATAACAGGAGTAGGAAATATGCCCCAGGCAAATGGGACAACACGTGGGTTCCTAAACGTATGCAAGCATTTCTATTTCTAGTCTCGGACCCTGCAATTTCCTCTGGTTTAAATATTATTCTCTACATACCTGAATCTTACTTACCTATTACAGCCTAGTTCAAATGCCCCTCTTCCAGCACACCTTCCCTGATCCTACAAGCCAACAGTAACTCTGCCCTCCACAAAGCAACGGCATGTTCTGTGCAGGCCTCTTCTATGGCACTTGTCCTCTTGGCTACTGCACTGTAACCACTGGTGTGGTCTTGCCTTCCCTACAACACTGCACACTCCTTTAGGGCAGTGAAGATTCTTATTCATTTTTGTGTCTCCCCAGAATCTAATGGAATACCTTCTTACATGGAGTAGGAATTCAGTAAATGTTGAAGGAATCAATTAGGGAAAAGTTCCCGTCTTACTGATTTAAATCCTGCCAAGACATCTGTTACACCCCTTAGAAATTTCGGAGGAAAGTAAAATTCTTGTACAATTGCTGGATTAACATGCCATGTTCAGAAAAAAATCCACCCCTCTCCTCAATCTCCCCTCTTTTTCAATAAAAATAGCAGAGCTTTCATTACTGGATAAGACATACCCCAGGAAGGAAGGAGCCTCGGGCTTGGGAGTCAGAAGACCTGTGTTTAAAGCCTACCTCTGCTATTTACTAACTGGGGACCCTTACTGAAAGTTGGTTTTCTCATCCTCAAATTATGTAATATCAACAAGGAGATCGTAAGGACCAAATACTATAAATATACTACCTGATACCATTATAATTTCAGTGCTGCCTATGCACAAGAACATAGCTATTTCCTTTGTGGGGGAGGAACTGAGTTATTTATAAGGTGCAACTAGTAGGTGATATCTCTCAAACATATGCTCTTCCCCAAACTCCTTTTCCATTGATTATGATGATGAAAGAAACACTTCCATCTTCATCTCAGAGCTTCAAAAAGGACTGAAAGTGCTACTACTGCTCATTTCAGTTGGGTTCTCCTTCTTTCTCTCTACATTCTCTTTTCTCCCACAATCCAATTTACCTTCACCCAAGATTCTTACCCGTTGTGGGTAACCAGGCACTGCCGCAGTCCCAGCTTGCGGAAGATATCCACTACGATCTCCATGGGTGTAAGGTCAGTCACAGTGAAGGGGCTGAGATCCAGGATGTTCCGAAGCTTCAGAGTGGGTGGAGTATATGGTGGCATTGGAGGAGAATGCTCAGTGAAATAAATGATGGAAGTGCTCACAACCCCATCCTGTTTCTTTCGAGCATTTTCTATTTGAACAGAATGAAAAAGAAAGTTGAAGATGGAAGTGCTAGTTCTATCCTTCTGGCCCCTAACTAGTCCCCTCTTCCTTCTGTCTTCCCCAATTTCATGCATATTTATTGAGTCCCACGGTGGGTTCCATTATCCCCTTTCTGAAATCCTTACCAATTGAAATAATGAGATCTCTTCGGAGGACAAAGCCTACAAGTCTTTGGGACTCCCGGGACACCACCACTGGAAAGCCACTGTATGTGGTTTCACTGATTATGGTCTCTACATCTTCCACTGTCATACTGTCCTGAGTAAGGACAGTCAACAAAGGATCATTTCTCCGGGGTTTCATCACATCCATTGCCAGGGTCTTATGAGCAAACTCTTCTTTGGCTTCAAGAAAGGGGTATCCATTGAGACGGATGTGGGCATCATAGATGCCCTCCCGCCCAAGAGCATCTGCCACCCACTTGCTTGTCATGGCTGCAGCCATCAGAGGCACGATGTATTCCAAGCCACCAGTCAGTTCAAACATTATGACAACAAGAGAAACAGTCATCCGAGTCACCCCACCTATAAAGAAATAGACACAAGCTGCTGACAGCAGGCAAAGTACAGGATTCATTACAATTATGGGCCCAGCCAGGATAAACTGACTTACCAGACAGAAACAATGCTAGAATGGAGTCTACCTACAACTGTCAAGACCCCAGCAATTGCATTAAAGTAAGGTTACAACAGACAAGATTCAGATATCTCAAAATAACATCTATAGGATATCTTCTCATGTATTTTTTTTCATTTGTCTGTTGCTTCTTCTTCATAATAGAGAAGTAATACATGCCCATTGTGGAAAATTTGGAAAATGTAAAAGAAAGTCATTATCCATAAAGTCTGCCTATAAATGAGCAGACCAAAAATTTGAATGATTTTTCAAGCTTTTTTTCTATGCAAAAACATACATATGTACATAAGTTAGCTCACATTATACGTTTAATTCCTCACCATGCTTCCCCTTTATGTTGGTAACATTTTGCATATTATTACAAATGTATTTAACATATTTAAAGATGTTAAACATATTAACATCATATTTAAAGGCTGCGTAGTATAACATTATATGGATGTACCATAATTTATTTAACCAGTCCATTACTGTGCAAATTTAGGTTGATTCTAATTTTTTGCTCTTATACTGTGATGCACATTCTTGTGCAGATATTTTTGTCCAAATTTCTGATAATTTCCCCAGTGCAAAAGAGTAGAATTAGCTTTCTTAAAACGCTTGAGAAATGGCAAACCCAACAGGAAATGAATGGTCATTTAAAAAATTCTGCAGTCAATTGTGTTAAATACCACTCTTCTTTTGTATGTCACTTGGGTAGCAACTTCTCTGAAATCAATGCAAACACTACTCACCTAAGCAGGCTGCAGCCCCAACCATTGCATAAAGGCCAGGGGTGATGCAATCAGCTCCCTGACTACACCAGCTATTGAAGATGGCCCAGTCATGGTGGTAATAAGCCAGTTGTTCCATTCCTACTCCTAGAAGTCGACCTGCTATAGCACCAACAGCCATGCTAGGGATAAAGAGGCCAGAAGGGATCTGCAAAGAGAAAACAATAGACGGTTAGTTGGAAATGATGTGATTGCTTGGCATATGGTAAGGGCTAGAGGACTGACACTCTGCGAAGCAAACAGGCCAATGACAATTTAACTATGCACTATGCTAGCAAGTGGCTGTAAAGATTTGTGTAACACTACAGGGACTAGAGGTTCTCTGGGACGTGCAGGCAAGGACGACTGCAAAGAAGCTTACCCTGATTCGAGGGTCCATCAGGCAAGAGCCTGAACTCTCCAGACCAACACAGAACTGGAGGCAGAAATTAGGCCTTTCCCAAAGAAAAAGGAAAATAGATGGAGTTTCTCATATATGCAGACATTTCTACCAATTTTGAATTCTTAACAACAACTACCCTTTATTGACTATCTACCATGTTCTATGCTGGATGCTCTACATACAAGATTTATCAGTTCTTTATAACAACCCCCAGAGGTAGGCATTATTATTCCCAAATGCCAAAGAACCTAAGGTTCAGAGAGATTAAGTAACTCACTCAAGGTCAAGATTTAGAAGACTGTTTCTGGGATTTAAAGGGAATGCTCATAATCACGCTCATATGTTGAATTGTAACCCATTGCTCACACAAAAAGGATGGCACATGAGGTTTCAGTCTATTTTGTAATAGTATCAAGAAAGATTAAACAATTAAAACTTTAAAATGAGATCGTGACTATAGTTGCATGATTAGCCAAAAAAGGAACCCTCATCTATCTCCCTGCTTTTTTTCTTGACTCCTAGGATACCATAATGAATTCTTAATATTCTGTACTAAGAGAGGGAAATGATAAGGATAATCAAAACAGTACATTATTTTAAAATAGCCTGTGTTTGATTTTGGAATGTATTTGAATCTGGCATTCTGATAGTCTACAAATTTAAGTGAAAGAATGAAGGCACAAGGTGAAAATTAACTCAAGAAGCACTGCAAAGCTTTCCAGAATCTCCAGCCTATCCCTGTGTTGAGGGGACAGATGGCATCATCTCAAAGATTACAGTACTGCCTAAATAGAGTTGCCTTCTCTTATTTTCTGGCTTGAATCTCATTTCTCCAGAGATTACGGGGAAATAACATGGTAGTAGGATGCCAGAGGAAGGAAAAAAAACAAGTAAACCTTGTGAAGGAAGGGGGGAAATATCTTAAAAATTTTCCTTTCTGACTTCTTCTGAAACATGAAATTGATAACAGTTACTCAAAGTAAAACATGCCAGTCTGATGTCAGCTTTTGACAGTTTAAATATTAACTTAGGATTACCTATGAAATGGATCCCACTTGCTGACAACTGAGCATTGATAACCAACTATAAAAAATACATTTAGCTCTATAGCCAGTTGAACCACATGAAATTGCTATTTTAGTGGTCAAAATGATTAAGTATCAGCAACTTCATTTGGTGCAACCTACTACTGTACTTTATTGGTAAACTCTCAAGCTACCCTATAAGGACCAACACTGTGTTGGTCAGAAATTGTTTTAATATAAAATGCACTGAAATAAATACCTCGCCATCCTTTTTGAGGGGCAAAATACATTTTCCCACAGAAAAGGAGAAAACATTTCTTCCCAAAATTTCATCACTGAGGTTGGCATTTGTCCTACAACTTAACTTGGACAATTTGAGACAGCAGTACAATTGTCTAGGAAGTTAGAAGAATATATAGGGGTAAAAGAAGCTTTTGGGCGAGGGAGAATAATGTTGGGGGAAGTTGAAAGTGCCACATGAATTATTTTGCCCTCCAAAACCCACAGCCATACATACAGCCACTGAGTCCCAAAAGAATTCCTCACCTTCATGCCAAAGGTGAATATAGTAATGACAATTTTCAGTATGAGTGTCAAAGCCAGCTGCCACATTGCACTGTAGATTCCCATGCCAGCCGGTCTGTCGGGCAGTTCACCCCCCTTGCTTGTGTTGAAGCGGTTCTCATAATCACAGAGCTTGGAGGAGTCCAGAAGGCCACAGTCATTAAACAGCTCAGAAATGAGCTCACTTGTACTCATACGGGTGTATTCATTGGGAAAAGCCAGGATGGCGGTGATGGCTGTCACGACAAGTACCTCTACGACAGGATACTTGCCCAACTGAGTGGTCTTTCGCTTCCGACACCAAGCAATGTTTGTGCGTATAAACAGAGCTCCCCACAAACCACCAAATATGCCCAGTAAGATGAATGGCACAAGCTCAAAGAGATGCCATGGGGTGTGAAACTCCACATAAAACAGAACCAGGCGGCTGTTCCCAAAAGGATTGATGGAGCGCAGAGTAAATGCTGCCACCAAGGCAGCGAAGAAGGAACGCCACAACGTTTTGAGGGGAAAATAGTAGCTGACCTATAAGAGAGAAGGTGAGAAAGCAAACTCAGTCAATATGCAGAAACCATTTCAGGTGAAAAGTTGGTACTATAAAAGCATTGGAGCCAACTTGAGGATGAAAACTGTCCAGGGATTTCTAGTCACCTGGTAAAAGCACCACGCTGGGCAGAACACCCAGGGACTGTAATATACATAGATACTGTACATTATGTACAAACTTATTGTACTGCAATGTATAAAATTCCTGACACAAAAGCACACGCATGTTCTACAGACAGTTAAAAGTCATTACCTCTTCAAGGCTGAATAATACTCCGCCAATAGGTGCCCCAAAGGCTACAGATACTCCAGCTGCTGCTGCAGCTGACAAGACCTACAACCCAAAACTCAAAATTAGCGATAGAATAACGCCACTTTCCCCCATTTGATCACATTTTTAAAAGGAATGCTAGTGGTTACTAAACCCTTTTTAAAAATACCTTTACATGGGCCATATCATCAAAAATGAAGTGCAAACACTGCATGCTCAATTCTAAACACACATACATGGTTCACATGCTTGACCAGGTAAGAGGGCTTTTCCTTTTTAATCAATTTAGGCATGTGCTCTATATAAATTATGCCCCCCATCACCAATACTTCCAATTCAGTAACTGCATTTGAGTTTGTAGACCTATTCATTCACCACCTAAATGAAGTACTTACAGTGATGTATTTATATAGCACTTTGTAAAGGAATGTTTTTTAAACAAGATGTTAAAGGTGGCTCTAATGATACAAAACTGAAGTTACAATTGGCTCACAGCTATTCAGGAGCTGCAAGTATTCATACAACAGGTATTTAGGGTTCCCTGTACTATGCATCCTATTCCATGTCCAGTAACCTATGGAAACAGAAATAAGGAAGTGACTAGATGTTTAAGGTAAGAGAAATCCTAAAATATGTTTAGGTATGGCAAGGAAAGGGGCTAGGAGGCAGAGAAAGAGGAAGAGCAATCATAGGGAAAGAAGGATAAAGAGGGAAAGAGAAGAGTGATATTGGAGAACACCACCTGTGTGTGTAGGCATGTGTATGCACGTACATGACAAACACTGGTGATGGCAAACAAACCAAAATTAATGGAAGAATCAAGTCTTTTCCTTGGATTCTAGTTGCTGTGGAGAGAGAGATGATTTGGAAAAGTAAGAAAATATTTTAGAGAAAGAGAAAGTTGAACAAAATTAAGAGTTTTGAAGAATAAAAATGTTGTTGGCAAAATAAGTGGGCAGGTTTCTTGGAAGTGTAAGAGGGCCCAGGAAAATGATGGGGAGGAAAGAGTGAATCTCTGGTGTTAGCTTAGTACTCTGGTGAGTACTCTGAAATTCATAGCTACAATGGCTTTCATTTGAGAAGGATGAGGACAGTCGACATGCAACTTGAGAAAGGGAATTTCAGTGACAGTATTCCAGATGAATTAGGAGGAAGAAAGAATCCGGTTGGCTACTTCACTTTAATTTTATATTGTAGAGTGGAGTCTGTTTATGCCCTTCCTTCTCAAATCTCTATTTTATTCTTAACCATCTGTCTACCGTGACAAGGCAACCAGACACAAAAGGGTTACTGCTGATGGTGAGAATAACAGGAAAAAAATAAGTGGAAAGTCTAAATAAGCAAAAGGAAGTAAATTTAAGATTCAGATACAGTCATGCACCACATAACAACCTTTCAGTCAAAGACGGACCACAAATAAGAGTGGTCCTATATGATTATAATACTGTATTTTTTCTGTCCCTTTTCTATGTTTAGATACACAAATACTTAGCACCTGCATTTCTCAGAACACATTATCCCCATGGTTAAGTGACACGTGACTGTATTCATGTGAGTCTAGTCGGAGACATATATGGCATCTGTACAGAGAAACAACCAAATCAAATTCCCCTCTTATAAGAAACTATTTGAACAAAAATGCCAATTTTATGGAATGAAAGTAACTAGCAATCTGTAATTTCAAATTCACCTCCACCCGTGCAAAACCAGCAACAATCAACACTCTACTCTTGCCCGTTAAAATGTTGTTTTCAATTCTTTAGCTTCTATTGTACATTATTTCTGTTCAACAACCTCTCCAATTTAACACTTCTTTATGCCCCTCTACCCCATGACAGGTACCTAAACAATCACTCAGATTTCCCCATCTCTCTCCCACTAGCCTTCCTCTCCTTTCTAACTGTGCCAGGAAGTTTCCTCCTTGAACTATCAAAATGTATTCCATATTTGAAATCTCAACATCTTTGAGTTTCCTTTTGGGTCTTGTGGTTAATCTTTTTTTGTTTTCAGAAGAAATCACCAGGTTCCAGTTTTGTGAAAAATCCTTTCTAATGAAATGACATTGGTCTTGACCCATTCCATATGTGATTTTTTTTGTAATTCAAGGGAAATAAAGCAAGAGCCATTATTTTCTTAGGTCCTTAATTATAGCAAGACAAAAGTACCAATAACTTGGAACACTTTTTAAAAATGTTCCTCCTCCTCAAAAGAACATTCATGGACAACTGTATAAACATGAAAACAACTACAGAGATGTGGGACTAATTTAGCTGGGCTGAGGCAGAAGGCAGAGAAAGGTCCAATACATAGAGAAACTAATTCAAGTGTGGCATTAGGTAGAAATAAAAAATGAAAAAGCTGACATCTGAAACACATGCTGCACTTACATTTATTCCTCCACAGGAATAAACAACTTATTTAAAATCTATTATTTTGGCAACTTATTTTGTAATAGAAGCAACATGTGCTTGAATAGAATTATATATATAATAAAAAGTTTAAGTCCTTACTTCTCCTACTACCACTTCACTCTCCCACTCGCCAGAGGTAGATGATTTTAAGTTTGGGGTTAAACCACTTTCTAGATATTTCCGAAGTGCATACATACTTTTTAAAAACATGAATTGAATTATACTACACACATTATTCAGAAACTTGCTTTTTAAACATAACAGTGCTTTATAGCCAGCACTCCATGTCAATATATAGGGTTATCACATTCTTTTTAATGGTTGCATGGTATTCTATATTATGAAAAGAATACTATTTATTCGATCAGTCCCTATCAATGGACATTTGGTTGCTTCCATTTTCCACTGCGTTGACAAATGCTGCACTGACTATCCCCATACACCCTTGTGCACACACATGCGAGGATGTCTGTAGGATAAATTCCCGGAAGTAGAATTGCTGGGTCAAAGAATACTTGTATTAACATTGGTAGAATCCCCAAATTCTCACCCCTAAGATTATACTATTTATGCTCTCACCAAAAAGAGACTCTTATAAGTCCATTTGTTATTACCTCTCTGCGCTTGGCTTCATTCTTCCTGTATTTGTTGAAGCAGTGGCATAGGATGTTCCCACAGCAGCAAGCCACGTGCACTAGGGGGCCCTCTTTGCCCAGGCTCAAGCCAGATGACACTGCCAGCACCAAGGTGATGGTTTTGATAACCAGGGTCCACTTACCCAAATAGCCCCTAATAATGAAACCACTCAAGATAGTTTTTATCTGCAGGTCAAACACAGAGAGATTGAATATAAACTAAAGAAGTCAACAAGGCTAAGAGGCAAAAATCTGGACCTCATTATAGAAACTGTACCTTTTGAACAAGTGACATAAATGTTTGACCTATAGTGATCCCAGTTTGGGAGGGAACCCAGGAGCCCAAGAAAGTAAGAACTATTCTTCAAGCTTTCATGTTCCCCTTTTCTGGGAGGAGGCCTGTGATAGCTGGGAAAGGGTATATTGTAAGCATGAGAGAGTGTGTATATGGAGAAGGGGAGGCAGAGAGGGAGGGACAGGCGTTTTCCTTACTTTACAAAAATGGTGGCCCAAGAAGCATGTTCTGAGAGGTCAAGGTTAATGTCCCTGAAACAACCTTAAAGGTTAGATATAGTCTTGATTCCCTGATAAAGAAATTTATGACTATTACTTGGTCAGGAAACAGAGAGGGAGAGAGGGGCTAGGTCATTGTGGTAACCTAAAATGTCAGTGGTTTCAGTCACTGTCAAGCAATCTAAGCCAACAGTAGTTAAAAATAGGGTTTTAACCAATCCCCTTCTAGCCTAAATCATATTATGGAAATGTAGCAAAATGGTTTTATTTCTTCTGCTCTAACAAAGCTGAAAATACCCCTACTTTTTCAGGTCAGAATCTTGGGATCTACCCTGGGAGCTTTTTAGGTAGGGAGCAAGGGAGGTCTTCAGGAGTTTAGGTCAGTAGGAACCTTCAGGAGGCTTAGAATCAATACCCTTTAATTTCCAGGTGGCCCAGGCTAAAGATAGAAGACTTGAGGAAAAACCTAAAGAGGCCTTACATGGCCTCAGGATCTAAACCTGTTTAATATTCACCAAATTGTGGTATACGCTGGAATATACATTAAAACATTTTAACAAAAAGAATTCATAGTGTTACCATTGATAAACCATTTTAAGAGACTCACCTCAGGGATTCCGGAGCCACAGGCATAAGGAGCGAACACCTTGACAAGAGATACGGCAAGGAAGGCAAATAGAAGAGCCCAGAGGACGTACATGAAATAATTGACTATGTAGGCAAAGGCTCCCTGGAACAGGGGGGGAAAAGAAGATTGTTTTAGCCTAGACAGACTCAGTGAGGCATGCAGCTCTTGAGTCATGCTTTTTCAGGAGAGAAGGTCAGAAAGAAAAAGACCAAGATGAAATTGCTCAAGATGTCTCTTTCCAGATTGTCAACAAAGCAACTGCTGATACACTGTCAGGTCACTTGGTGCTGAAAAAGACATGCTTTGCTGCACCCAAAGGACACTTACAGGGGATCATAAAGATGGACAAGGAGGAGGAGCAAGCTGAAAACCCTGAAACAAAACTCACTTTCTATATGAGTGCTTTGATAGGTTTTGTAGTCAAATGTATGTGATTCCTTGTCAATTTTACTAAGAGTTTTAAGGTCTTGGTAAGCCCCCCGCCACCCCCAACTTTTTTTTTTGGAATGGCTGAACCTTGGCTAGACATTCAAAGTGAAGATCAGATCTAAAGTTCCATGAAATCCACCTTTGGCTATCTACCTTAGTGTCAAATTCTCACAAGGGGGTTCTGGTGACAAAATTCCTGGGTGTTTTTTTTCTTTTTTAAATTTATTTTTATAGTATATATGATATTTAAGGTATACATGTTTTATATACATATACATAATGAAATGAATACTATAGTCAAGCGAACTTACATATCCATCACCTTCCATAGCTACCTTTGTATGTGTGATAAGAGTAACTAAAATCTATTCTAACAAATTTTCAGTATACAATATTACTAACTATAGTCCTGTTGTGCATTAGATCTCTAGACTTATTCATCCTACCTAACTGCAAATTTGTACCCTTTGGCCTACTTCTCCCCATTTCTTCCTCCTCCCCACCCCAACTAACCACCATTCTACTCTCTGTTTCTGTTTATTAAACATTTTTTTTTAGATTCCACATATAATGACTATATCTTTGAGAGAATTTTGCTACCACAGACTCAGCAATAACTATGTAAGCAGAAAGTTTTGGGCCCTGACAGTGCCAGATATTCCAAAGAATAAAATGGCAACAGCTATTTTTAACATGGAGAGAATATATTTTGAGACTATTCCCCTATGATAATGAAAAGAAATCTAGTTTTGACCACCAGTAAAGATTCACCAACATCAAAGGGCTTGCACATAGCCATGCCTTACAAAAAAAAGCAGTTTTGAACATTAGGAGGTTATGCTTGCTGGTAGAATTATTAGCAGTTGAAACTCACTCAAATTACATGAAATATAAAACTCAACGGACTTTTAACTTTTCAAAATATAAAGTACTATTAAAATAATTCATTGACCTAGACGAAGAGAACCAGAATGCTCAGGTTTTTTCTGAATTGTAAGTTTGACACAGGTTTTCCATTATCTAGTCCCTGGAGGAACAAATAATTGCTATTTCTTTGCCTTTCAAATGTAGCTAAGGAAGAAGAGGACCCCAGAGGTAGGAAACAAAGAAAGAAAGAGAATATAAGGGAAAGTAACTGTAACTGGCCAGAGGCAGAGACCAGGAGGTCAAATTCTTGGCCTTTGGAGAAGGCTTCTTAAAACCTAGAAGACCCTTTCCCCAGGCAAGGATTTCATTCATAAAAAGGAGAGCCAGAGAAAGTTGTCACTCAAGCAAATCTCAAGCTCCAGTTTGAAAGTGACTGTTGGAACACTTACACACATACACACAGCTATAAAGAGGTAGCATGAGGAAGCCTTGTAGTGCCAGAACAATTCTAAACTTAACTGTGGTGGCTGTTACACAAATCTATGCATGGGATAAAATTGCAGAGAACTATGCGTGCACACACACACACACACAAATCAGTGCGTGTAAAACTGATGAAATAAACCCTGTGGATTGTACCCATGTCAATTTCCTGGTTTTGCTACTGTACTACAGTTATGCAAGATGTTGCCATTCAGGGAGGCTGAGTGAAGTGTACTGGGGACCTCCTTGTACATTGTTTTGCAACTTCCTATGAATTTGTAATTACTGTAAAATAAAAATGACCAAAAAAGGCAAGGGAAACACATATACTCCCCCTGAGTTGCAGGGCTTCTCAAACTTTTCTATCCAAATTCTCCTAATCTAGGAGAGTGAATAGAGATATCAGGGCATAGGGTAGGGTACCTGGGATCAGAGCTAAAACAGAGATATTGTTTTTTTTCTTAACAAACATGGAAATTCTGCATTCCATATTTTTTTTTTTTTTGAGACAGTCTCACTCTGTTGCCTGGAGTAGAGTGCGTGGCGTCAGCCTAGCTCACAGAAACCTCAAACTCCTGGGCTCAAGCGATCCTCCTGCCTCAACCTCCCGAGTAGCTGGGGCTACAGGCATGCGCCACCATGCCCGGCTAATTTTTTCTATATAGACTTTTAGTTGTCCAAATAATTTCTTTCTATTTTTAGTAGAGACGGGATCTCACTCTTGCTCAGGCTGGTCTCAAACTCCTGAACTTGAGTGATCCACCCGCCTCAGCCTCCCAGAGTGCTAGGATTACAGGCGTGAGCCATCGGGCCCGGCCTGCATTCCATTTTTAAATGGGTATTTATATTTAATTTTTGAAAAAAAACATTTCCTCCAAATATTCAAAAAAAAACTGATGTTCTGGGAAGGCACATAATGTTTATCCTATGAATTCACCTAGCCTCTGGCATAAGCCAGTTTGAGAAGCATAGGGCTAAACTCTCAAACATACAGCATCTATCTACCCCTTTAATTGAACCCTTTCCCCAAGACAAATATGCATAGTCATATATGTACGTAAACACTCCTATTTCTAACTTTATTATTTTTCTATTCTCCTTTTCCCTTGGCTGATTGTGTGTGTGTACATGTGCACATGCCACCTCAAATTGTGGACCAAGGTGGGTAATAAAAATAAAATTTTAAGGTGCAAACATGTATCCCAGTCTTGTCTCCTTCCACTTTACCTATCTTAGTTGGTGGAAGTCAGAGTGAAGTAGGAGTTGAGAGTTTTGTTTTGTGTGCTTTTGTTTTTAGTGGGAGAGACGTAACAAATAATTGAGCAGTAAGAGAAAGGTAAGAAACTAAAAACAAAGTTACTTTTGCACCAAAAAACGTACACTAGAAGACAAGGACAAATGAAAACATCGGTTTGATCACAAAATGGGACAATGGGCAATTTTATTCCTGGGTTTCTATTATTTTGATGTGGAACATATCACAATTTTTTCAATATTCTAATGCAATGCTCAGGGAAAATCACTTTTGGTGTCTATACGATAAACACATTTTTAACTCACTGCACCCTTCATTAGAAATTATAGCTTACCTGTTGGCTGGCTTCGACATCTCTACTAAAATTATTAGGGAAAGACAAATTCAGTCACGCTGTGTTCTAATAACTAAGAAAAAACATCAGGCTTATTTAAAACAAACAAACATTTTAAATATAAGCACCAAAGGACTCCACAGGTCAGAACAAATGGAAATAGAGCTGCACTTAAACCAAAGAGAAAGGCAGCTGGTACTGGTTCCCTTTTTGTGAAAAGGAAAATGGGAGGACATTCCACAATTGCCATGAGTACAGTGTAAGAAATGAAATGAACGTAAGAATAAAATTCAGTAGTTCAGAAATCATTACTACATGTTACCTCATCCGTGCTGATGATAAGCTGGGACCAGCTATTCCACTCTGGGCATTTGTCTCTGTCTTCAAAGGTAACATGTTCAGAGTTCCAGCAACAATGTTCATGGTTAAACCAGAATCCCCCTGTGCATATACCTTCTTTTAAGTCTGTCATCCAACGAGCAGAGATGTCTATCAAACCAGCTAAAGAACCTGATTTGTGAAGAGGGAAGGAAAGGGCAAAATTCAATTCAATCTTTAAAACTCCGTTCTTTGGTAATCAGAATAAGCTTTGTTAGAGAAAATGAGGGAAAAGGAATCCAAATAACAAACAAGCACATACCTTCCCATTCCACATGCAACCTCTTTCAGATTGTATGTTTGTTTGATTTTCACTTATTATTTCTGCATTAAACAATGGTGTCTGTAGAATTTTTATATAGGAGGGACTTAGGAAAAGCAAAATGGGTGGATGGGAGTGAGGGACTAGTGGGTTTGTCTTTAATCTGAATTAACAGGGCAAAGACACTGTGCTGACTTCCAGTTTATGAATACTGACCCATAAAGACAGTCAAGTTTATTAAATATTATTTTATTTTCACTATATACACAATTGAGGGAATGTGAATTGCCTCGAATAAATTCTATGATATTTATTTGAGATGGATTGGGGAGGAGAGCTAACAAAGATTATGGGGAGAAGGGCTAAGCCTTGATAGCAAGATTGTGCACCGTGGACAAGAGAATGTGAGCACTGGTAGGAAGGCATTCTTGGCTAAGGGAATTGAATTCATCAAAGCACAAACTGTGATGTGTAGACATGTTGAAGCCTCCTGAACCTAGGACATGAACATTCTGAAGTTTTCTTAGTGAGAAGGAACAAACAGTATCATACACAGAACATTTACCAAAGAAAATTAGGAGGAAATGAATAGTGAACTGGGGCACTCATGCACTGTGGCTAGTAGACTGATAGGGTTAAGACAGAGTGCTTTAGATTCTGGCCTTCTCATCATTTCCTGTCATCCAGATGAAGAAACTGTGGTATAAAGAAATTAAATGGCCCAGAATCATGCTTCAGGGAAATAGTAAAGCCATCATAAAATTCACAGCCCCTGAATTCCCAGACTGTTCCTGCATTCAGACACACTGCTTATATTGTTGCTCTCCAATGCTTAAAAACAAAATACCCTGTGTGTACGAGGGAAAGAAAAATATTCACTGACCACCTAGTGATAAGAAATACATTAAAAAGTTGAGGATATTATGCCTGTATTCCAACAGGCAGGAGGCCATGTCGTGTGTATGTTTTGGTAGGTGCTAAAAGTATTAACACAGGTTATTTACATACTTAAAGAACCTAGTCAAATCTAACACATTGTTTGACACCTATTCTTGGCCACTCCAGCCCCCAGACTTCTCTGCACTTACTGTCTGGATTTAGCAAATTACCATGATGTTATGTAGTTTGGCCTGTTCTTAGGTTGTTTCATGTATGCATGTCTTATTTTACCTAACATTGGCACCCTCAGTCCTGTCTTCCCTTCTCTTCCTCCTTTTCCCACCCAATCAGCTCTTTCTTCTTTCGTTACCAATTTTATTAGGTTTCCCCAACCCTAAAGAATAAAATACTGTCCCTTGCCCTTGTTAACCATTTCAAACTTTTGTCCTTCCTCTTCCAATGACTACCAAAAGTTCCACATTGGTTGCCTTCCCTTGAAATCTGGCTCCTGATATTTACCTGAGATGGCTATTCAAGGTTATTGATGTGCTCCTAACTGCTAGGTTGTATAACTTTTTCTCAGCCATCTTCTTTCTCCTTAGCCCTTCTGCAATACTTGGCATCACAGACCACCCAGTCTATTATTAGCCAGCTCCAAACTGGCCAGACCATGTTCTCTCTCTGGTAAGAGCCACAGGGGGCAGAGTTAACACTCTAGGCCATGAGTTGGCAAACTATGGCCCAAGTGGCCTGCCCCCTATATGTGTAAATAAAGTTTTCCTGGTCACGGTCAGGCTCCTTTGTTTACCTATTGTCTATGGCTGCTTTGGGGCCACATTGAAGAGTAGAGCAGGTGCAGAGACCACTTGGCCCACAAATCCTAAAATATTTATTATCCAGTCCCTTTACAGAAAAAGTCTACCAATCCCTATCCTAGAAAATTTTTGAAAACCCAGCTATGGATGAGACATTCCTCATTTGCTGGTCATTTTCTACTCCATGGCTCCCAAATTATCTCTCGGTAACAGTGACAGCAGCAGCATTAACAACTGAGTGCTGTGCTAGTAAGTGCTTTTGTGTGCTATCTCTCATTTAATGCAAACTTTATTATCTCCATTTTACAGATCAGTAAACTAAAGCTTCCAGGCCTTAAGAAACTTGCCAAAAGCCACAAAACTAACAAGTAGTAGGGCTGGGATTCAAATCCAGGCAGCCTAAAACTAGAGCCTATGCTGCTAACTACCATTTTATCCCCTCCACCTCTAGGTTTCCTACCTAACTTCCCTTTCAGATCAAGATTTGTGATCTTCCCAGGCCCCATCTTTTCATGCCATTAGGACATACCTTTGGCATCTCTGCCTGGTATCGTTGGCTCTCTGCTTCCCCCATGGGAGGGGAAGCCTGCTTGGGAACTTGCTTGAAAGCTGTATTTGCACAGCAAGTATACTATTCTTAGTGAAATTATATATTATTTGGAGTGGTCGGGGAGGTTGATGGAGTTTACAGGAAAAGATGGCACCATCCTACCTCTCAGCCACTATGAAAGAATGAGATATGGCAGTTATCAGCCATATCTTACATGCTTTTCTATACCACAAGATAAGAGAGTAGATCAGGGGTGGGGAATCTGTGGCCTTAAGAATCCAATTGAATTCAGTCAAAAGGTCACACTTAAGGATTTAGAAGGCCACATGTGGCCTTAAAGCTGCAAGTTCCCCACCTCTGGAGTAGATGTTTAAGAAACATCTACAAAATGTCTTAGGAAGTCCTCTTCTGCATCTTCTCTCCTTAAACCCTATGTGGTATGTGTTAAAAAAAAAAAAAAAAAAGAAAGAAAGAAAGAAAAAGAAAAGACAGTCTCCAACAGAAAGGCTCTTCCTCAAGCATCAAAATGCAGTGCTAACTTTATCTTAAAATGGATACGATATTTTACAGTATACAAAATGCATTTAGATGCACGTCCTCATTTATTTAAGGTAGATGATGCAGGTATTAGAACTCCCTTACAAACAGGAACATCAGGCTTCCAAAAGGTTCACCAGCAATTCATTTCAGGTAGCAAAATAGGAAAACACAACACTCAACTCAGTTCATGACTTGGGGGAGAGACATCACAATTTTAGATTTGTTCTGAAAACTAACATAGTTTACCATACCTGATAAAAGCCCAATAAGGAGCATCAACAACCAGCCAGAAAAAGCATCACTCACACTGTGAATTAAGGCCCATGTTGACTCTTTGCTTTTATTGGTAATCTGGGGGAAAATGAGAAAACATTGGTATACTACATACACCCTTTTTTCATCTCTAAATTGCTCAGTAAAGAAATACAAAGACAAATAATCTGGGAACAGAACTCGGTTTAGAGTTACTTTTCACATAATCTTTAGCTGAACCATTTTCACCAACAACTTTGAGGTTTACTGAACTCCACCCTCATCTACAGTATTATAATGCTCACGAGTACCTTATTTAGGACTTTCCCATTCAGTTGCTCATTTCTTACAGCATCAACTGTTTTGTTTATGGCAGTGATCTCTTTCTGGTTTGGACATGAGATATTTGAAGGATGATTTCTTGACTCACAGCAAATAGTTTCATTATTTTTCAAAGAATAAACAAACACAGGCTTATTTGAGTGATGAAAGTACAATTTGAGGTTTACTCCCTGGGGGTTGTGGTTCGGGTAAGGCAAATTCCAAGACTTGATCCCACAACCCCCTAATTGTACATTGATCACAGATATTAAGTGATATCAATGATGGATCTCTTTCATTTTCAAAAACCTGCTGGCAATATCTAAGGCTATCAGGAAGTGCAGAAAGCTTTATCTTTTAGCCCCTAGCTTTGTCAATTTAACCCTTCAGTATCCACATTTTTTTCTCTTCCAAGAATTATTGTTTTTTCTAGGATTTCAAGTAGCCCCATTTTAATTGTCAATAATTTTAAAAATAATCTGTCCTTAATTTTTACATTCTTTATAAACACATTTTTTATTTTTTTATTTTTATGGGTACATAATAGTTGTACATATTTATGGGGTATATGTGATATTTTGACACAAGCATATAATGTATAATGCCCACATTTTAAAAACCAACATTCTGGCAGCTTAGTGTTTGGTACTTCCCCCTTCTTTGTGCCTCTATATTTTATCCTTGAAACAGTGACCTGGCTACCCCACCTTTATCTACAGCAACATCACAAATAATAAATTATTATTAAAATTACAAAAGCAGTTTTAAGATTCATTTAGACCTATGACCCTAGGTTTCCAATTTCCGTGCTGAAAATGGATGATGTTACATTTTTCCCTGTGACATTGTTTCCTTTCTGATAAGGAACAGTTAATGCTTAAAAAGTCCCCTTGGACTATCTGATAAACACATTTTAATTGGTTTTAGATTATTAAGTGGCACCATTTGTCTCAGATGCAACATTAATATAAAGAGAAATGTTCCCTTGTCATATCACAGGTGACTCTCATATATATTTCTTTTTTTTTAGGCAAGCATGAAAACGAGGTTTATTGAGGAGAGAAAGATAGGATTATAGGGCAAGAGCAAGATATAGGTTTACAGAGCATGGTACATATGCCACAGATGACGACCAGACACACTGTTGCAGCGAAGTGAAAGCCAAAGGAAGGGCGCAAAAAGAACATAACTCTCATAATTTGAACATGTTGACTATGCAACTGATGACAAACTGAACTCTGAATTACAGACAGCAGAAACTCAAATTCCTGCCTGATGAATTGCTATGCTAGAAGGAGTATATGGAGTATATGGGTGTGTTCCCAAATAGGAGAAATCTTATGAAAAACAGGATGCTTTCTAGAGATCACCTTCCCGAGTTGTGATTTAAAAAAAAACAAAACTCAGTGGGATCACCACAAATCCAAGGATTAAGAAGGAATTTCCCAAAACCTGTACCTGGGACAACTTGACTCCTAGGTTCAGGTGGTCATGAGAAAACCAGTCAGGAGCTGGGAAAGGCTTAAGAATGAAAAGCAATCTCCACCTGACTGCTCAGAAGATTTGCTTGGCTCTGAGAGGAGGATATCACAAAGTCGAGAGAGAATGGGGTCAGCTTGAAAATTACATTTTAAATCCGGAGTCCAAGCAGAAATAGTAAGAAAAAATACTAATTCCTACTTGTGGGTTGAAAAAGTGACTCACCAGAGGACTACCTACTGTGACTCTCAGGGGCTGGACACTTCCCTTTTTAATAATGTCTCCGTATGGTCCTTACACAAACTAGAAATTGTGATTCCCTAATTTAAATGATTCACGACAAGTTAAAGGCAACTGATCTTGGAAGACTGCTCTAAGAAGTTTTCACAGTACTTTGAAAGGAGGAAAGTGGGGAAATTCTCTTGCCAAATTCAAAAGAATTTGTGCCATACATCTATTACCTATCATGTTCAATTAACGTCCTTAATTTACATTTGATTGGTCTTATGGTTTTATTGGAGAAGAATGTGTATGTTTACTTTGGTTTTATGGCTGTACAAGAGCTATAATCACAAGGATTTTATCCAGCATGCTTCAGTAAACACTACGGCTCTGAGAATTTTTTCTTTTATTCCTTTAAAGGGAGCCCATGTACTTTTCTTAGTTTTTAAAATCCTGCATCAAGGGAAAAACCATAAAAGGGAGATGAGATGGGAAAGGCAGATCTTTGACATTTATCTTGCCACCCTCCTCCCAGTTTGTTTTAACCTCTCTGCAGAGGCATTTATACACATATTTCAGGGCTGTAAGGATCCTTTTCAACTATTTACTACAGGAAGATAAATCATCATTAAATATAATTTTCTTAAAAAATTATAGCATAAAGATCATATGCAAGATGTCTTTAAAAATAAAAATCAATTAAAACATGCCAATAGAAAACAGATCCAGCCACATCCAGGGCTGAAGGAAAGAATAGAAAGAATATATATCTTCGATTTCTTCCCCTGGTGTTTCTTAACACTTATTCATGTACCATCTTTTGTCTTACCTCTCGGTGCCTATCCCGGTCTCGAGACTTCTCTCTCACCCAGTCAATTGTATTGAAATCATCATAGGTCCCTACACCAGGAATTGGCTCCTCCAAGAAGTCCATGATTCTATATGAAGAACCTATTCCTCCACCATTGTATGACTTGTCCTCTGTATTGAACAGGAAACAGACATTAGTACTTCATATGGACACTCTTAACATTTTTAATACCTCCTTTCTGAGCTCCAAAAGGTGAGCCCTTAAACTATCAGATGACTGTAGTTAGGGTGTACTGATAAAGCAACATAATCATGGGTGGGAACATACATCACATTCACAGGTTTCTGTGGTCTAGGCACAAAATAATGAGTGGCTAAAGGTAGTGTGAATAGAAAGGGACAGATGAGAGTGACAGTACCAAGAGAAATGACATGAATTGATGTGCAACGGGAAAAAATTTATGAAATCAAAGATAGGAAGGAGCTTGGAGCAGCTTAGGTATTTCAGTTTATAGAAGGGAGACAAAAGAGTCAAAGATGTTTGCAGACACATCACATCAAAAACCATTTTACATTTCTAAGGCAATAATTCAATCCTATGAGGTGGCTTTTGTCTGAAAGCCTGTCAGCTTCTTCAGGAGTTAAGCTGGCAAGAAAGTACAAATTTTCTTTCAGTAGGTCTAAGATTTGATCCCTGATGTCATGGGCTTGTAGAAACTCTTTCTAAGTATGTCGGAACAGTCTAAGATTTACAAGTAGAGACTTAAAGAACAGTGCATGGCTTGGTGATGAAACATCATCTAGAATGAACATATCCATTTGCCCACTTATCATACTCCTCACCTGCTTTGCTTTTGACACTTCTATTACAACTACTTATGCGTATGCTTTATCTTCCTTTCTAGACTAGAAGCTCTTTGCTGGTAGTCCTACATCTGATTCATCACTGCCTTCTCCACAGTGTCTAGCACATATTCAAAACTTAATAAACATCAGCTGAACCAAAATTTATTTGATGAACGGCAGGGATAAGGGAGAAAATTTTAAACTCACAAGTTGTACTCACACAAGGCTTAACAAACTTGATCAAAATATTCCTGCAATGTCATCTGATAGAACAATATTTTCCTATTAAACACAGAATGTAAAACAGTATTGAGGAATTTATGCAAATGCACACTGGGGAAAATGCAGAATAATGCCTTCATTTAATTCGCCCAGCCAAAGCTCACATTTGCAGCACCAACCTTGGCAGGGACAAGGCTTCATCCAGACTGTTTGGTAATGAATCCTTCTGCAGAGAAGGCCCAAGTGGGCCTGAGCTGACTCCCTCTTCTCCCATCTGTATTCCCATCTTCACTGTAAACTCCTAACAGACAAACTTTAGCATTCTCATGGGGCAAATTTGAAGGAGCTGTACCTGGTTTACCAACTATAAGTCTTCTGAATACCTAAGTCAGCACACCTTTCACTAGCAATGTACACATTTGAAAGGAAAAGCTCTGCAGAGTCCAAATCATCTGGAGGGTGGGGTTGGGGGTGGAGTGGAGAAGGTGAACAAGTTAATCTTAAAACCCCAAACCAAAGTCCTTTCCATATCTTCACTCGTACCTGGCTGTAAAATGGATGGCTGCTGAATCACCAGCCCAGCATTTCCTATCATGTTAGTGTCATACTGATAAAGATTTTCATGGTGTGTTGCTTGAGAGCTTAGAGAGGAAAAGCCAAGTAGGAAATGAGGGCAGAAAGAGAATAAAGTATGTGTGTTGGGGGCAGGGGGCAAGCTGTTTCAATTCTCAAGTCAAATGCTGACATGAACACAGGACACCAAACAACCAGAAATTTACTTTTTAAGGCAGGTTACTGCTTCAATTGAATTTACTCTGGTTTAAGAGTTCTCCTTTCAGGAGGGAGAAAAAAGGATTTTGTGAAATTGATTTTAAAAAGCATCTAACAGCTATCTAATGTTACACTATATATCAAATGAGGCCCCCAACTTTAAGGATATTAAGGCAAAACGAAGATCTGCAACAGCTCCCTAGCAGGAAAGAAAGAATCCTATTACATCACTAGGTAACATGAGCACCGAATCATCCTCCTTTGTAGTCCGGTCGGTCTCCTGTTAGAAACGCAATTGTCAGGCCACTCTCAAAGAGCAGGCAGTGATTAGAATCCTACAACAGACGGCTTGCGATTCTCCAGACCCCCTGCTCCCGGGGGCATGCTTCAGTCCTTGGTCAGGCTCGAGTCTGCTTACCTTCAATCACAGTTTTCTTTTTTTCTGCCTCAAGGAAGAAATAACCTTGGAAGCCTGCATTTGGTCATTTAGGTTGAGGAGCTTTAACTCTGAAGTGCTTTAGAAGGGCACTTGCTGCGTTCTCTGCCTTTCACAGCAAAAAACGCCACCTAAAGAACCACCAGTGTTCCCGGGCGGTCAGAATGTGATGTCACTGTTAGAATCACGTGACCAGACCCTTGGACCAGCCTTGGAGAAAGGAAGATTTTTAACCAGGCACAGAAGCCTTAAAGATGTAGTCTCATCTAAACAAATGCCATCAAACTGGGGGCAGCCGGGTCAGCTCAGAAAACTGGGGTCCAGGCAAGTCTTAGTCTTCAGACCTCATTTAGCAGAAAGTCCAAGAAGGCTAAGTAGAAATATCCAAAAGCACTTACAGTTACAGGAGTCTTAAGTAAAAAAGGGAGAGAGGCAAATATAGAAAAGGCTTTTTAAAAAACACTCTGGATAGCAACAATGTGGGTAAAATCTCTCTAGGCTTAGACAAGCCTAAATTATATCATTTTAAGATACAAATGCAAGTGATTACACTAAAAAGAGAAGCGAGAAAATGACAAAAGTAAAGACAGGAGCTACCCAGAGAAGAGGGCTGCCATCTGGAGGAACACATGGCAAGGGTGGGGCTTCTGGAATGCTGGTCATTTTTCTTAATCTTGGAGGTGATTACCTGAGTGTTCACTTTATCATTATTCTTTAAACTGTATGCATATGTTTTATGTCTTTTTCTCTGTGTATATATTATAATTAGAAAAAAATGAAAACATGAACTGCATATGAACCTACTATACAAGGTCAGTTCTTTAATACCACCTAGTCACTTTGAAAATCCCAGAATACACTCAAGAAAATGAGCTGTTTCTTGTAGTAGTGCTCTACCCAGAAAGCAACATCAACTCTGATACCCATAAATCTAATCTGGGTAGAAGCAGCTATTTCAGCCCTAACAATAAATTTGCTATGATGTTTCCATTGTTTTAAAGGCTTTCTTAGCTTCAGCCCTATTCTGAAGGCTATTTTTAAGCAGGTCTTAATTCATTGTGCAATAAGGCCAGTCCAGTAAGGAAGAATAAAATCGCTATCTCCCAACTCCTTAAATGAATCTGCAGGACAGCCACTGTTAAACATTAACCCAGTCACAGTGTGCTCTAATAATCAGATTCTAAATGTAGGGCTTTGAAATGTTATTACTCTTCTTAAGACTTGGTGCATCCTGAAATGTTAATACAATGAAACCTTATGAAATGTAAGGCAATGCATGAAACTTGTATGCTTTCAGTCCATTGTTGTTACAATATCCCACTCTGTTGATGAACTAATCTAGCATTAATGAGGAGAATTAAAGCAAGTGGCAACTGATAGTATTAAGTGGCAATGAGCTACAATGCTGTAAAAAGCAAAAGGCATTTGTGGCCCAAATATGACTGTCTTATGTAATTAAACTTTTAGAAAAGTATGTACATCTTATTCAAAGAGGGTAACATGCCCAACCTCTTAAGCCTCCTTTAAAATTGTTCTTTATTAAAAAACATGATTTTACCTGCAGTATCTGAAGACCACTACAGAATTCACTTATATTATCCAATATGACTTACATTGTCTTATTATATTATTTCACACTTTAGCAGCTACAGTATTTAGCAGCCAATTTACCGAAAATACCATCTTTTTGGGTACTTAAACAATGTATAGTTCTATGGATTGCATAGCTGGTGCTATGTTATTAACTTTTAATAAAAGTTCATGTGTTTTTCGAATGCTCTATCAGCACTTCTAGAGGAAGGACTTTTTAAATTCCATGTAAAGTTACTTCCTTTGAGAACCAGAGGGCTGGTAGCTGTGATGCAGTCCCCATACTAAAATGAGATTTAATTACAATTTAGATTAAGAAATGAGGCACTGGGACTCAGAGGTTGACATGCTATATTTCTCTTATTCTTTTATATCCTCCATTCCCTTCTCTGCCAAATTTGTAATCACTAGCATGTGTTTATTATACAGACTGCCCAGTGCAGGTCAATTGATACTATTATGAAAATAAGAGAAATGTTTAGCAATTTTTAATGCATCCATGATGAAAATGCAATAATATATTATAATTAATATTTTGGGATAAGCAGAGTTATCTTCCTGACACAGATCTGACCAGATCATTCCCCAATTTCTAAAAGGTCAGTGGCTCCTACAGCAATGTTTTGAAAACTTTTAGCACATGAAGACCCCTTAATGGGTATTTGGCACAAGTGTGGACCACAAATTTAAAAATATTCATCTTAATTTTTAGAATAGAAAAAATGTTTAAAATGTGTAATAATAATGACAATGATAATGTTACTATTTTAGATTTCATCAATGAGAGGGATTAAATTGTACTCTTTCACCAAGGTATCTATAGATGACCTGATGACAAATAGCTTAAAGCTTAAGGTGCTGGTCATATTCCACATCCAGTTGGTTTCTTTTCTTAGCATTTTTTAAATTTAGCAGAAAGAAAGAGCAAATTCATAAAATTTAGCTGTCAGTAATGGCAGCAGAGATTACGTGCCCATTCAGGGCCAACTGATGAGGCACAAAGTAACAAAATGCAAAAGGCTTTTCAAAAAATAGTATATTAAGAGTTAAGTTTCTGGGCTGAGCACATTGGCTCATGTCTGTAGCACTCTGGGAGGCCGATCACTTGAGGTCAGGAGTTTGAGACCAGCCTGAGCAAGAGCAAGACCCCATCTCTACAAAAAAATAAAAACATTAGGCGGGCACAGTAACATGTGCCTGTAGTTCCAGCTACTCTGGAGGCTGAGGCAGGAGAATCGCTTAAGCCTAAGAGTTTGAGGTTGCAGTGAGCTGTTAATATAATGACACCACTGTACTCTAGCTGGGG